TCGCTGTAGCTGATCCTGAAGTTTTCGCGACTCCTCCTGCAGCGTCTGGATAGTCTTCGACTTCTCCTCGCTCTTCTCCTTCACGAGATTCAGCTGCGTTGTCGTCCACTCCAGCTCCGCCTGCATCTTATGCATGCTCTCCTGCTCCATCTGCGCTCGGACCTCCGCAGCGTCCCGCTCACGAAGCGCCATGCTGTTTGCACGGACCTTCACAGGCATGAGGAAGGAGGAGGTGAAAAGAAGCAGTGAGGGAGGAGGGAGGAAGGAGGACCACGAGCACGCGGGGAGGAAGAGAATGAAGACCAGGAGGAGGAGGAGAAGGAGGGGAAGGAGGAGGAGGAGGAGAAACACGAGCACGCGGGGGGAGGAGAATGAAGATCAGGAGAAGGAGAAGGAGAAGGAGAAGGAGAAGGGGGAGGAGGAGGAGGAGGAGGAGGAGGAGGAGGAGGAGGAGGAGGAGGAGGAGGAGGAGGAGGATGGCTGCAGAAGGATGACCTGAGCCTGCATCTTCTTGTTCTCCTCCCGCATCTGATAGCATAGGATCAGCGGAAGAGCAACAGGCAGTCGCCTCACCTGCTCTGCTTCTCTTGCTGCGTCCTCCACCCGCCTCAAGGTCTCGTCGTTCAACTTCCTCGCCTCCAACAACTTCAAGCTCAAGTCCGTCTTCTGCTTGTGTTCTGTTTCCAACGAGGAGGTCACCTGCAGTCACATGGTCAGCGGAGGGAAAGGAGAGGAAGAGAGACAGGAGAGGGGAGCAGGAGCAGGAGCAGGAAGGAGCAGTGGGCACCGCATTGGGACGGAGCAGGGGGATAACGATCTCTTACCTGATCTGTACAGAATCGGAGGTCCTCGACTGAAGCTGCAAGTTCAGTTTGCAGGGTCTGCACCTGAACATCAGCATCAGCATCAGCATCAGCATCCCTCGCCGCTCCTCAACCTGTAGCCTACACTCCTCAGCTCGTCCCCTCAGCTTGCCGATGATGCCCTGCAGCTCCTGGATCTGCCACATGCTGCTATCATGCAAGGAACCGCCCAGCCTCGTCATGTCGAACCTCCTGCGACTTCTCCAGGAGGCTGGCAGCTCGTTCTCTTGCTAGGTTGCTCACTCGGTCCGCATCTCTCAGGATCTGCTGCCCTTGAGCCTGCAGCGTCTTCTTCTCCTGCTTCTCCCGCTCGATCGCTTCCTCCGCTGCTGTCAAGGAATCCGAGAGCTGTTGTGATGCAGTTCAGATGAGCGACAGGAGGAGGTGAAAGTAGAGGAGGACGAGGCGGACCAAGGGGGGAGAGTTGGCGTTGGCTAAGTTATAGGAGGTGGAAGAGGAAGAGGAGGAGGACGGAGGAGGAGGACGAAGGAGGAGGAGGAATCTGGCCCTACCTGCTTCTCTTTTTCTCTGCTTCCTTGAAGCTCTTCCTCCAGCTTCTCGGACTTCTCTTGAAACCTGTCAGCTAGGTCCTGCGTTCCCGTCAATTGAAGGAAAAGAGACATCAAGCAATGACAAACCTTGAGCTCCAATAGCCGTTGCTGTGCTTCAGCTGCCAGACAAAATCAGCCAGCCAGCCATCGAGTCAGTCAGCAAGTCAGCCAGTCAGATAGACAGGTCATGTCATATCAGTTCATGTCAGGTCAAGTCAGTTAGGTGGGGTCAGGTCATGTCAGGTCAAATTGCACGAGCTCTCCGTTTCCAACCTAAATTCGCTTCTGCAGTCTCGAGCCTCCTCTGCTCGTCGACAAGCGTCAGGGCCAGCTGAACGAGCTCCAGGAGCTGACCTGACTGTCTTCCAGCTGCTTGCTCACCCTGTTCTTGGCCGAGGAGGTGACCTCGAAGCCGTTGCTGATGGCCTTGAGAGAGGTGAAGGCATCTTGAGCCTTGGGAACAACCTGCGAGATGAAGTAACGCGGCATGGCGAGGAGGAGCAGAGAAAAGAAGGGCTGCACAAGGGTAGAACACTAGAGGGGTCAAAGGAAGGGTGGTGAGATAGAAGTAGGGTAGAGGTACAGGAAGAGAGGACGACAAGGAAGGAAACAAATTTGCATTCAGCTTGGATAACAATAAGACAAGTTAGTCGCACAAGACGCGAAGGAGCGCTGTGGCCTTGCATTGGTAGCCGGAGCTGCAGCGGAGAGGAGGAGGAGGAGGAAGCAGTGGTGCAGAGGATAGGAAGAGGAAGGAGAGAGTCATTGAGACCTTGTCTGGCTCCAGTTCCCTCATCATGTGGTGCATCTCAACAATTCTCTGCAGAATTTTCCCGTCAAAATCGCCAGCGATGGTGCAAGCGAGGACGCGCACGTTCTGCAGTGACGAGAGCAGCGAGCTGTCCTCTTCCTTCGACTGCAGCGCAGCAGCAAGGCTGTTGATCCGAGCAACCTGAAAGCAAGCAAGGTCGGACAATGCGCGAGAAAACGAGGGGACGTTGCGGACTGAGCGACCTGTTGCTTCAGCTGATTCTCTTTCTCCTCCATGTCGGCTGAGGACTTGGACAATAGCTGCTCCAGCTCCTTGATCTTCACGTTCGCCAGTGCAAGCTGGACACCAGAAATTCAATAGGAGGAGGAGGAGGAGGAAAAGACGAGGAGGAGTGGAGTATGAGGGAGAAGAAAGAGAGAGAGCAGGACGTGGGGTTGAGGGGGTGAGGAGGAAGAGGAGGAGTTAGCAAGAGGAGCAGGAATTGGAGGAGAATACTACTTCACCTCCTTGTTATGCTCCTCCGATAGCGACGGAGACTGAACAGATCAAGTCAACGCGGTCGGTGTTCATCCTGACTCCCCGCCCTTCACCTTCTGCTCCAGTTGTGCCTTGTAATCTTCTAGCTCAGAATCCTTCGCCTCAAGCATCTTTGACAAGTGATCCAGTTTCCCCCTCAGCCGGGCGATCACGAGCTCATGGCTGATCCCGGAGGAGGAGGACGAGGCTCGGCTGATTCCCTGCTGGTTTGCGCTCTTGGCCACAAGCTCTCGCACCTGCTGACAATATCAGCATGTTGCGCAAGAGCAGGCTTTCCCACCTCAGCCCACACCATCTCCAGCTGGGAGGTCAAACTCTTGCGGACTTGAGCCGGGCTGGCTTCAGCGTTGGCCATGTTGCCATCGTACTCGCTGACGTTCCCTGTTGGGATCTGCGGGCAAGGGGCGAGCTGCCAGTCAACCACTTGCCCTTCAGCAGTGCACTCGCGTCGCAAGCAGCAGCTCCCCATCTACCTGGGACAGCAGAGACTCGAGGACGAGTTGCGCTCTCATGAGCTCCTCCTCATGCGCGTTGTTCGGTTTCGGCATGGAGCGAGGCGTCTGGGACCCATCCGATCAGAGCGCTGCATGGAGGAGGAGGCGAGCAACAACCTGCCCCGTCGAGTTCAGCTGCTCCTTGAGGAAAGCGACCATGAGCTCCGAAGAAGCACACCTGAAGGCACAAGTCACAACCCTCGACAGCCGTTGAGTTGACATGCAACCTGTCTTCTGCATCCTTCAGCTTCGACTTCACTCTTGTTGATCGGTATGCGTCAAACAGGCTCTCGCACGATCATCACTGGAATACCTTCCAACCATTGCAATCTCGTGCCAAAAGTTCAACACGGAGGACTTTGTGATAGCAGAGCGCTTGCGCATTATTTCAGCTAGGAGCTTCACTTTCAGCTTGCGACTGGTCATGTGACTCTTTTGAAGCTTTTGTTTCATGATGGTCTCAACCTGTCATTGCGGTATGTAAGCTGCTGTAGAACAGCGACAGCTACGCTCCATTACCTCCTCGATCTTTGAGATGTGCTTGTCCTTGATGCTATTCTTCCATGATACCACGCTCTTCATCATGTCTTCTAGCTGTCTCTTCTTGTCTCGGAGCTCCTTCTCCAGCTGTTGGAATCGATGAGCTAAACTAGGAAGCACCGAGGAGCATGTGATCTTTACCTGTGAGTTTTTCTGCTTCAACTTTCGTATGACAGCCTCTGAGAGGTTCGATCTTTGCTCTTGGTCGACATCCTCTCCGCTCGCCCCGACATCGTCTCTGCGCCGAACATAGCTTGCATAAGACGGCTAAGTCTCAAAGAGAAGACTATCGTCAACCTGTCGTGCCTGCTCAAGGCCTCATGCTGGCCCCTGCGTGAGCCAGCAAGAGATGCAAAGCTTGCGTCTCCTTCTTTCAGCGTGTTCAGTCCGAATCCTCCTGTGTGCTCCACCCTACCAAGAGGATTACGAGTCTCAGGATACAAACTTGTCACTTCACCCTTGCGGGCTTCGGATAGCGTCAGTGTACTCTGGAGGGGCACCGAACGTTCTCAGCTCTAGCGGTAACTCCTGCATCGAGGATCACGGTCACGAGGAGCAGCAAGCGGATGAGTTACTGTTCGTCTCAGCTCATCCTCGTATCGATCAGAACGCGACGCTTGCATCATGGAAACTGGGAAAGGTTCCTGTACGGACGCAAGAGGCATCAGCTCCCATCGCTGCTGGTTCACTCACTGGCAGGACACCTGCAGGTTCTCGCCGCTCGATTGAGAGAACAGCTCTCGTGCACTTCCCGCTGAGCAGGAGCAAGTGAGTCTTCATCTCTTTCCTGAGAACAACTTACTGCTATGAGGTTGCGACAAAGAGCCAGAGGATCGACTGCAACGAGGAGGTGAATCGAAAGCACAGGAGAGAGAAGGCATTACCCTCGGTGCGAGCCGGACGAGTCGTAGGACCGGTCGTCTTCGAAGGAGGGGTCGAAGCTCGGCTGCGAGTTGAAAGGCGAGTGACTCAGGAGATTATCACGGGAAGGTGGCATCGGCCTTGGAGCGAACGGGTCGACGCCCTTGAGGTAGGGAGCCGAGCCGAGACCAATCAGAGGAGCGGACAAGGGGGCTTGCGGGGTCGAAGATGCTCTTGATGACTGATCGCTGATGCTGTGAGGTCCTGTTAAGGGCGCCGGGGGGGGTGTTGATGAGGCGCCGGGCAATGGATCATATGATGAGTACATGGAAAGCCCGATGTGTCTGGCAAGGTCAAGAGCAGACCTGCTTGAGTTATACGATCCATCTGAGCTGGTGGATTCCGCCGTCCAAAACTGGGGTTGCGAGGAAGAAGGGGAGAAATTCCCTGGTCTAGCATGCCTCGAATGATCGGACATCGAACGTCAGATACGGAGAACGACGAAGAGGTATACTCTGACAGGCTTCTGAACGTCCGAAGAGCTTGCAGTATCTACTCTTTCCCTCGGCTTCAGTCACCAAATCCCTCCTAGCTCTTCATCCCTGCTCCTCCTTACCCCTTCCTCCCACCACCGCTACTGCCATCCCGCACTGAACGCTACTCTGGTTTAAATCGGTTTGACTCATGATGCTGTTTGTCCGGCCCGGGCGGCCCGATGATTCGATCACTGAGCTGAAGACCCTGAGGCGGGTTGGAAGTGATCGTAGAGCAAATTTTAGAAGTTTCGAGTAACAATTACTCCTCTCCAAAATATTTCCGAATCACTCCTCCAAATTTCAAATTACCAGATTTAGGTGTGGCAGTGGTCCCCAAAAGCTGGCTCTGGGGGTAGGTGGTATGTAGTATTGGTGGGGTAGGGAAATCGGACCGGGTGGGGTATGCTCACGTGTCAAATCTCTCCCTCGCCGGAAAATATGATTTAACACAACCCAAGGCAGAGAAATTTTAGCAAGTGCCTCCCCACTACACCTCATCACCTTGCAGTGTAGATCTTCAACCTTACCTAGTTTTGCTTAAGAGATTTATAATAAATATCTTTATCTTGTAGAAGATACAGCACTGTTGCCTCCAAGGCAGTGAGGGAGTGCTCAGTACCCACCCTTGTAGAGTAGCATGAATATCCGAAGGGGGTAGTTCTTTCACTCGTGCTGCAATTTTTTGTTACTAGGAACACTCACATACAACCGGCTCTAGGGTTGAATTATAAAAAATGTGTGGTGGGTCCTTCCCATGAAGGATCGGGAGACGGGTAGGGTAGTTTCCACGAATTTGGCGGGAGTTCGTTTTGACTCTAAGGGTGGGTACTTTCATTAGGAAATGAAGGTGTTTAGGGAGGGTAGTGGGAAAAATAGAGGGTAGTGGGTAGGGGTCAGAGAGAGATTTGACAGAATGTGATTCACAGGTAGGTGGGGTGATTAGGTCAGAGGGCAGGAGCGGGGTGGACGCAGTAGAAATAGGGGGTAATCCAAAGACTCTATGGGGGTGGTCGAAGGTGTTGTCTTAGGTGGGTCACTTGGGCGATATGGTAGGGGTGATGGACCCAGGTTCTAGGAAGATAGGGATTTAGGAAGTACGCGCTAGAAGGCATAGAACCCTTGCTTGCAGGTGGGTAATTGCTATACATCCGAGGGGTAATGGAAGAGGATGAGGGGTGGTGGTAGCTCAGGAACACAATGACAGGGGGTCCATTCACCGAACAAGCAGCCATTATAAAGGGGTGGTCAGATGGTCGCGGTTTCTGGAAAGGGGTGGGTTTGAAATGGTAGGGGTATAAATGAAGGTATTTGAGGGGGTAGGGTCTTAGGATGTACCACCAAGGGTCCTAGGAAGGACTCTAGAAAGGTAGGAGCTGCCGCACGGGTGCAGAAAGAAAAGACAATGGCGGATGGCGGCAATGGAAGTGGCGGCGGCGGCGCCGGGGGAGGCGCCGGGGGAGGGGGAGGGGGAGGGGGAGGGGGAGGCTTCGGGGGAGGAGGAGGAGGAGGAGGAGGAGTTCAAGCAGGATTCCCGAATCAGGGTGGGCCTGGTATGGGAATGGGCCCTGGAGGTGCTAGCGGAGCCTTCCCTGGCCAAGGCGTGCAGGCAGGCAGAGGCGGCAGAGGTCGAGGTCATGCTGCTGGTGGAGACAGGGGAGACAGAGCAGATCGAGGAGGGTTTGGCGCAACAGACAGAGGCCAAGGAACGGACCAGCGGGGAGGGCGTGGAGGTCGTGGGTAAGTGCACTCACATAATTTTGTGATAGTTGTAGAGGAATCTATTGCACTGCTTTGTTCATATCGAAAACATTTCATTCCCTTTCCTTGAACTTGTATTGTACGATATGGAGCATGAGTGAGACTGAGGCGGGTAGAGAAGTGTAAATGCCAAAGTCTCAACCTGCTTCCTGGTGTGCTGAATTATGCAATGAAATGCCAAGAATGACAATGGAATCAGTCTTCATGTTTGCCATGACACCATCTACACGATAATTTACTGACTCTATTCTGTCTCCTTGGTTCCATTTTGCAGGGGGGTGGTGGGACAACATACCAGACCTGGTGAGCCATTATCTGACCATTTCGTATGACCTCAAGGTATTCACCATCTTCGCAGGCCCCAAAGGAATGCAGCAACCAAACATGAGCTCGCAGAAGAATGGCTCAAATCAAAATCCAAACCATGTACAGCCTAGTGTACCACCGCCTGCACTTTCCGATAGCCCCGATTCTTCTGCATTCCCTTCCCAACCGAACTGGATGAACTCAAATCCCATGAATCCACCGAGGGTGAAATCAGCTCCACCTGATCAAGAAACAACAGGTTTGTTACTTTTTCTGCAGACTGGTAAATAAGTGATGAATCCTTTCAGCTTTGCCAAGTGCTTCGATGAACGCACAATCACGAAACCGCGTTGGAGCCATGATGGGGCAGCACATGACTTCACCTGGCTTTCCTAGTCCAGGATCGGGTCCAGGGCAGCCTCCTGCTGGTCAAGCAAGACCTCAAGCTATGCCGGTGAGACCTACTGTTCCAACAACCCAGGGGCATAGTCACCAGATGACGTCTCATGCGCCGACTGCTAACATGGGAGCAAGCATGAATCCGGCAGCAACTATGAACCCGGGCATGGCTGCTGCACCGATGCCTACCGGCATGTCCCCGGGAATCGCTCCAGGCCCGAATGCGAACATGAATCCCACTATGGCAGCGGGCATGCCTGCTGCTGCTTTAGCGCCTGGTTTTCAAATGTACTGGAATCAGATGGCGGCGATGCAAGCAGCTGCAGCGTATCAAAACCGCCAGGATGGTCAAATGCCAGTCATGCCTCATGTTAATCGCCCAGATATGACAGCACAACACGCAAACAGACCAACGCAACAGGTCCCAGTGAACATGCCTGCCCAGCAAGTTCCCCCAAAGCGTGAGAAGAAACTCCTTTTCAAAGTGAACGAGAACCGAGACATTGTACAACCAGCAAACGTTGGTGGAAATGCATCTAACAAGCCCTCGCAATCACAAACAACTCCAGACACTAAAGATGCAACCTCCAATTCAGTACAGCAGAGCTCGATTCAACCCAACAGCATTTCAAGTGAAGTTGAATCAATCATCGGATCGAAAGTATCGGAGCAATCGAGCTTGCCTTCATCTACATCGTCTGCACCTGAAGCGAAATCTGCATCTCAAACAACTGCTACTGATACCACAACGGCAAAGGAAATGAATCAGGTAGTTACTCCACCAACGCTTGCTCCGAAGGAACCACCAATGGGAACTGCGAATTCCGAGAAGTCGAAGCAGCAAGATGAAAGCAAGGACTCGACCCCTGTTTCTAGCGAGCAAGTGAATACAACAGGCATCCTTTCAGGCTCTACTGGAACGACCGCAGGCACAGCCGGTGCTTACGTCCCTCCACATCTGAGAGGCAAGGCTAGCGACAACAATAATGCCGCTCCTAGGCCTGTGGCAGGACCTTCCAAAGTTGAGGATGCCAAGAAATTGAATGGAGTTGAGAACAGTGAAGAGAAAATTCCATCGAACATGGCTGTCGAAAAGCGAGTAGAATCCGATGCAACGGCAACCTCGGTAGACTCAAAGAAAAAAGAGGGAAGTCATGAGGACTCGAAGAATGCTGATGAATCCAACGCTGTAGTTGACGAAGCGGTCAAGCAGCAGGTAGAAGAACCTTCCAAGTCAGTGATGCAGACAGATGTACCTGAGTCCATGCCTGAAGGATCGTCAGTAAGGTCGCAGCAAACCCCGGTGGCCCCCAGCCAAGCTCAACCAGCAGCGTCGCAGAGCGACAAGACCGTCGCCGACGTGACAAATGACAAAGCTGAGGCTAAAAAAGAACCTAGTGAAGAGCAGAGTGTCACAAAGAAGGAAGGAAATACAGCAACCAAGGACGACGATAAGGAGAAGGAGACGGAGCCTGAGGTACCCAAGATGAAGAAAGAACGTCCAGCTCTTGCTCCTGGAGAGAGGCTGCAGTATACTCTGGAGTTTATGCTCAAGTTCAAGGACATCGTCAAGAAGAGTGAGATCACGGAGAAGGTGCTCAAGTCGGTCAGCGAGAACGATCATCTCCGCGATGCCTCAGGCACAGATGCACGCAACCCTGCAAGCAATCGACCTTCATCTGGGCTGCTTCCAGCGCCCAACCCCAACGTTGGAATGCCTATGATGGGCTCGGCGTCAGTGATGCAGCGTGGCGTACCACCGCCGGGTATGCGAGATCCGCGAGGCATGCCACGTGACAACAGGATGCCGTCTACAGCTCGTAGTGCGCAGAGGGTTGGAGGAAGAGGGCAACCTATGCCAATGAATCTGCCGCCAGTGAGGCCTCTCGAAAAGAGCGACAATGCATTTGACTTGAGCAAGAACAAAGCAAGGACTCACTATGAAGCGACGATGAAGTTTGCGCGGTCGATCTTGAACAAGCTGACTTTGACGAACTTCAAGAAGTTGGCTGCAGACCTTGTGAACATTGATTTCAGAGATCCTGAAGAGTTGAAAGGTCTCGTCGGAATCATTTTTGACAAAGCGCTGGAAGAAGGACACTTCTGCCAGATGTACGCGGGGTTTTGCAACGAGATCAAGGATAAGCTTCCAGAGTTCTCCGAGGAGGAGGCCGACCCTCTTCCCGGAGAAGAAGTGAAGAAGAAGAAAGTGTCGTTCAAGAGGTGTCTGTTGAACAAGTGTCAGGAGGAGTTCGAACGAGCCGATCGATACGACGAGCTTACAGACGCTGAGAACACTGGCCTTTCGGAAGAGGAGAAGGCGAACAAGACACGAAGAGTGCGCATCCGCATGTTGGGTAAGAAGGCGGCATGATGTAGGCGAGTTTGGACTAAGCGAGGGTGACAGGGAATATCAAGTTCATTGGGGAGCTGTTTGCTCAGAAGATCTTGAATGAGAAGATCATGCACGAGTGCGTGAAGCGCTTGCTAGGGAGCAAAGACGAGGACACCATCGAATGTCTTTGCAAGCTTATGGTAAGCATGGCAGCGTCGGAGGATGAGGGAAGGTGACTGAGAGGTGATGTGCAGTTTACGATTGGCAAGCTGCTTGACCGCGAGGAGGCACGACACTACATGGATTATTATTTCGATCAGATGAAGCAGATGGCGAATGAGATGGGGAAACGGCCGGGTGGAAACAGGTTGAAGTTTATGTTGATAGACACTCTGGAGCTACGCAAGAACGAGTGAGTGACCTTGGAAGCTTGGTTGAGGGCTGTGCTGTATGCTGATGAATGCGCTTGTGCAGCTGGAAGCCAAGGAGGGAGACAACTGGGCCGAAGACGATCGGAGAGATTCGTGAGGAAGCTGTGAAAGAGGGCTTGGTGACATCCATCATGCCTCCGGGGGGTCCGATGCGGGATGCAAGAGCTGGTACTTGCTTGAGTTGACTGTGCTGCTTGGTGTCTCTGACAAGAGGTGATGAAGGACCACGAGGAATCTTGCCGGATAGGGTGATGGATCCACGCGAACGGGCGAGAAATATGCCTCAACAGGCGTTCGACAATCGGGGGATGGGGCTGTTCCAGGACAAGCGGATGTCTGGTGGGGGATCAGGCATCCTCCCATCGGACGAGAGGGGGTCGCGTACAGCAGGAATGATGTACTCGTCCGGCCGTGGGGAGATGCCTCCAGTGGGGTATGGCTCGCGGATGGGGATGGGCAACCCAGGAGCAGACTATCGTGCGGATAGGATGGGGGCGGGAGGGCCTGGTCCGAGGGACTCAGGTGGTATGCCTGGAAGCAAGGGGCTTCTGGTCAATCCTGGTCAGCGGGACTCCCCGTCGAATCAAGCAACTTCTCAGTCGGCAGCTGTACCGCAATCCTCGTCGCCTCGGTCCGCCGCTCCTGCACCTGCTCCTGCTCCTGCTCCTGCGCCCAAGCTGTCAGCGGATCAGATCTCCAAGAGGATAGCGAATACCTTGGAAGAGTATGTAGAGATGAATGACCTGAAGGAGGTAAGGAGCAGCACGCCGAGCGTGGGTTTCTTGCCTGCGGAGGTGCTGAACCGTCGGCAGGTGATGGCTACCTTGGACGAGCTGCCCAACAAGGACCAGCATCACGATATTGTCGTGAAGTCGCTTGAGATGGCATTCGACGCTACGAAGCACACAGAATGCCTGGTGAGTTTGACTGGGAGTTGTAGGGGTGTGGTGTGAAGGTGTCGGGCAGGTCAAGTTACTGGATGAGCTGTATGAGAACAAGGTTTTGAGTACGAAGCATATGGAGAAAGGATTCGAAGATGTGCTGGAGTTTTTCGAAGACATGACGATCGATTTTCCTTCTGCTCCGAAAGTGATGGGTAGCTTTATTGTTTCGGGCCTGGCGGAAGGGTGAGCTTCAAGGTGATGATGGAGATGTACGTAGTAACGATGTGAGCAGGTATGTGTCGTGGGATTTTCTCAAGTCGACTTCGGATCGTTTCATGAAGGGTAGCAACTATCAGCCGAAGTTCCTCGGATCGGTGCTGAAGAGTCTGATGGAAACGCTGGGGGCTGAGGAGGGGAGAAAGATCTGGCAGGAGTCAGGGAAGGCGCTCAGCGACTTTGGCGTGACGGATCAGGCGGCGTTTGTGAATGGAAATCAGCTGGCTGACTTGTTCCCACTGCAACGGATCGAGAAGAGCGTGATAGCGATGCTGGAGGCGGACAAGTCGGACCAAGAGATCATCGAGGAGGTAGAGTCGATGATTGAGACAGTTGACCGGGAAGTCAGCCGGTGTGTGGTCAAGTGCTGTCTAGGAAAGATCTGTCAGGAGCTGGGGGGACGAGAAGCGCTGAAGCAAGTGACAAGCGACAACCTCATCGAGCCTAACGAGAAGGCTTGTTTCAGCAAGAGGCAGGAGCTTCTGCGAAGGTGGCTGGGGAAAGATTGCGATCAGTCGTACGCGTTGTTTGAGCTGCAGGACTGCGTGAGAGGGTTGGAGTATCCGCCAGGTGAGGGAGGAGGAAGAGGCATGACGGGAGGGACCATGACGAGGTGAGGGCAGGCTTCTTCTCGCGATGTCTCGCTACTCTCTACGACCTGGAGGTCATCCACGAGAAGGCCATCGAGGACTGGCTGCAGCCTCCTGACAACCGCGACCCGTTCCTGACGGCTGCTCGGAAGCGCTTCGACGTGCGAGACAACATCGAGGCGAAGAAGCAGGTAGGAGGGCGAGGAAGAGGACTGAGGAGGGGATGAGGGAGAGAGGGCTGACTGTGTGGCAGGCGCAGAAGTTTGTGGAATGGTTGCGGAAGGACGAGAATGCATGATGATGTCAGGGCAGGTTGTGGTAGGCACTAGTTTATTCTTTGGGTGAAACGATAAATCTCCTCTCAATCCAACGTGACGTGTCTCTCGCTCGGCTCGCATTCGACTCTCAAGCTTCATTTCACTGCAGCACTCAGTTGTTCATATTGAGATATTGCTGCCCTCCATCATTTTTCTTCCCACTCAGGAGGGGGGGTGGGAGAGAGGGAATAAACTAGTCGCATGCGGTGACGGTGGCCGATGATGACTGACTGACTGAGTCAGTGACTTGGAAGTTTGAACAGCTGACTGTGAGCATGGCACTGAGTGACGGTTCTACACTGTAACACTGTCATTGTACTTGTTCTAATGATTGAATGTTTCCACTTGGGGCCTGGACGGCGATAGCATGCCGCGTGCGTCGTCAGCAGGCAAACTCACCGGCGCACTGGGCCGGGCCGGGCCCGGCCGCGATTGACAAACCGTTACAGAAACCAACGGCTAGCAAACGAAGGTCCTGGACCCCTACCTTTCATACCGTACCCCTGTTTATTCTTGTAGTCCCGAAAGACCTTCTTCACACCTCAACTTTTATATGTGGAATATTGGAGTAAATGAACCTAGTACTCCATCCCAAACCCAATAAGGACCCACCACCCAATAATGAAAGGACCCCTCCGGCCCTCAACCCCCTCTTGCGCCGCCTTTGACTGCTGCTTGCTGTATGGCGGTTGGAGCGCCAAATCAGAGCAGCAGGTGAAGATGGAGGGAGAGGAGGAGGAGGAGTATCCTTCGATCCAGGGGAACGTAAGAGAGACTCTGAATACGAAGCTCTACCTCACGGCGAAGAACTCCTCCGCTCTCAGGGTCACCCAAAAGAAATCCACTAGTCTCCTACGACCACTGGGCAGCGCCAGCCCAAACGGTAACGTGAAGGGAGCGGGAGGACATAGCGTGGGAGGAAACGGGCACACGCACAGAAGCCCTACATTTCGTGTAGATTCTCTTCTGCCACAGGAGCTTAAGATCGCTCGTCATGATAACAGGAACGGAAAGAGCATCGGGGAGAACGGGAGTGATGCAGATGACGCCATGTCGTCTCGCGAATCTCACAAGGAGAACGGCAAGGCAGAGAATGGTATCGATATGCCAGGAAAGAATGTATCGTTTGACTTCCAGGCGCTGGACAATGCGGACTCGAAGTCCATGCTGGAACGAGCGGAAAAGTTCAGCAAATCCGCAGCTTCAGAGATAGAAAGCACCACAGACTCGGACACGAAGCTGAAGCCCAAGAAGGCGCTGACTCAAGACGAGGCACGGGACTTGTTGAGGCTCATGAAACGTCTTTCAAGGAACCCTGAGAGCCAGGAGTTCGTGTACTTGCGGCCTTACCTTCCCGACGAGAACATGCCGCCTGCTGAACGATTCACCCCCTTGAATCCTTACCACCTAGAAGTTGTACAGCACTCAGAGATCGATCCCAGCAACTACTTCACCATGAGCGCTCATGGGGTGACCCAGTTCCTCCACGGCAAGCCATCCTTCACCGAGCTGAGCAGATGGCGCAAGGAGTACCAGATATTCATGGCTATCAGGAAGATCAACGTGTTCCGCAAGTACAGAGTCTGGAAATCATACAAGGTACCCCGCCGTATGGCGATTCCGACTTGATGACGTCACGAGCAGGTGTGGAAAGACGTCGTTCACTACGGCAAGATGCACATTCATCAAGGGCTCTTGACCAAGAACCTCTTCTGGTAGAGAGAGCTTCCTCTGGTGAATTTGCTGACTGTCTGCTGTTTCAAAGGATGGACGACAAGTTCCGAAATGCTATTCTTGAGATCCGCCTGAATTGTGAAGAGCTCAAGACAAGCGACTTGCACAGCTTCCAGCCTAGTCACTTGTATAGGTTGGACGAGTTCTACAGTGATCAGCAGGTGCGTCGGATTTCCCCTGGCTTGCTCGTTCCTCACGATTCTTTCCCGCAGAGCCAGCGAGAAACTTTCTTGAAACAACTTCTGGTGTTCTGGGACACAAACGTCTCCTGCGCGGCGAAAGCTTGCACTTCTACTCTTGACGCCCTCGAGGCCAAGCTCCTTGGCTCAGCTCAGACCGTAGGTCCCCAGCAAGGCGCGATTCAGAAGGTGACTGGCATCCAAAAGGACGACAGCCAGAACTACAGGTACCTACCGGTGCGAAGAGACTCGAGAGGTTGAACTTCCTGTCTTCAGATACACCATCAAGGCGTCCAAGCGAGTGGAGCATCAGAGATTGTACCACCTCCTCCGTTTGTGCGATTATGTCATCTTCAATTCCTTGGTATGCCTCCTCCTCCTCCTCCACCTCCTCCTCGTTATCCCTCTCCTCCTCCTTTTCCTCCTCCTCGTTATCCCTCTCCTCCTCCTCCCCCTCCTCCTTTCTCTTCAACATTATTGCCGTTTGATTGCTTTGCTGCAGTACAGTATCGTGATTGGCACTCTCGACTTTCTCCTCGAGAAATTCGCGCCTACGGCGACCATGGCGATCAGCTTCTCGGACGGGAAGAACGACGGGTTTGACAGGCCCATAGACGCGTCGAGTGCACGGCAGGGATCGGATGGGTTCTCCTTCGAGAGAGCTCGTTCAGGCTCCTTCTTGAACCGATCGATGGAGGAGGACGAGGAGACCCAGCTGCAGTCGATCTTCGTGACCGAAGTCATCATGGAAAAGGACAAGCTCTTCTTCGTGCCCTCTGTGGAGGACTTCGAGGATCAGATCGATGCGATCATTGACGACTATGTCGCCACCGTCTCGTCGAAAGTGCGACTGCTCGGTCATGAAGAGCTTATAGAGTGAGTTTTCTCCCCCCACTGCCTTGTGGTTCCCACTATCCCCCTCCGTTCTCTCCTCCCTTCCCCATCATTTTACTGCCCTTCCTTCTCTCCTCCTGCCTTTCACTCCTTCCTAACTCCCTAACTTCGCCTCCTTCCTCCCCTCCCTCCTTCCGCAGCCGCTTGTTCTCATACGTGTTTGGCAGGTATACGTCCTTGTACGACCCGGACTCAGACATCAGCGACTCGGCTACCGTTGCCGACATCATCCTCAACGACGAGGGCTTCCAGAAGCGCGTGCAGCAGCTACGCAAGACCATCACTTCCTCCTTCGAGAAGGCCGAGAAGTGCCGGCTGTCGCTGGAGCCCTTCCGCGAGATGGCGATGAGGAATCTGGAGGTCGACTCTGACGAGCTCAAGGACAAGTACGAGAGCGGGGAGATCGCTCTCAACGGCTTCAAGACCCAGCTAGTCCTCTACAAGGGGCAGATCGATGACGTGAAGAAGCTCAGTGACTGGGAGGACTTTGGGATCCTCCGGGTGGACACCAGAAAGCTCAAGGACGCGCTGGCGCCTGCGCCTGCGGAAGCTCTTGGCAAGGTCGAGTCGCTGCTGCCTGAGCTGGCGCTTGAAAAGCAGAAGGTGATCATGGAGAGGGTCGGGGGGGCCAACGCAAAACTGTCCAAGAAGCCGGCGACCGTTGCCGAGTTCGTGTCCCTGCTAGCGTTTGTGGAGACGGAGATGGAGGCGAAGGAGGAGCTGGAGGCTCAGTTTGCGGACCTGCAGAAGCACTACGAGCTGATGGAAGCAGAGCAGGTGTTCATCCCCGACATGATCAAGGCGGAGTATGCCATTCTCGTCCCCGAGTACGCGCAGATGCAGAGCAGCCTGGAGATGGCGGAGAGCACAAGGGAGGAGGACATCGCGCAGTGGAACGCGGTGCTTGACAAGGAGATCAAGGAGTTCGGGGAAAGGATCAAGGATATGAAGATGCAGGCGGAGAACCCGCAGATCCTGGAAGACTCGCCCAACCCGGAGATCATCCTCGAAGTAGCTGACAACCTCCGCGAGCAAGTACGCGAGCTGGAGAACTGGGCCAAGGAGGCGCAAAAGTTCCAGGGAGTGTTCGGGGCCAACCTTGTGCGCTACCCCGAGCTCGACGACTTGGTCTCCGACGTCCAGCTGAAGAAGTCGATGTGGGAGGCGATGGTGGAGGTGTCAACCATCACGGAGCAGTGGAAGGAGAAGCTGCTGGAGGACCTCAATATCAAGGAGCTCGAGAGCATCGTGCAGAAGTGGTTCAAGGCTGCCTCCCGAGCTGAACGCGAGCTGCCGGCCAACCCCGTGGCCCCCAAGCTCAAGAGCCTCGTCCAGGTGTACAAGGACCTGGTCCCCAGCTGCTCCGACCTGAGGAATCCGGCGCTGCAGGCGAGGCACTGGGAGAAGATCGATGCTGTGGTGGGAAGGCACATCGAGCGGGACCCGGAGCAGTGGGAGGAGCCGCTGACGCTGGGCCTCCTCCTCTCTTACGGGGTGATGGAGCACCAGGAGCAGATCCAGAAGATCTCGACGGAGGCGACGCAGGAGGGAGTGCTGGAGTCGATGCTCGGGAAGCTGCAGGAGCAATGGAGGAACGCAGAGTTCACGCTCAACAACTTCAAGGAGTCCAAGGACGTCTTCATCCTCGGCGGGGTGGATGAGATCCAGGCGCTGCTGGACGAGAGCATGGTGACGATCGGGACCATCATGGCGAGCAGGTACGTCGGGGGCATCAGGTCGGAGGTGGAGAAGATGGAGACGAATGTGAGGATGATGCAAGACACCTTGGACGAGTGGCTGGGGGTACAGAAGAACTGGATGTACCTGGAGCCGATCTTCTCAGCTCCTGACATCCAGCGGCAGCTGCCGCTAGAGGCGAAGCAGTTCCTCGACATTGACAAGGGCTTCAAGGGGATCATGAAGAAGACCAACGAGAACCCTAACTGCATGCGAGCTGGGACTCAGCCCGGGCTGGCGGACCACTTCAAGAAGTGGAACGAGGCGCTGGATAAGATCCAGAAGTCGTTGGAGGAGTACCTTGAGTTCAAGAGAATGGCATTCCCGCGCTTCTACTTCCTCTCCAACGACGAGCTGCTCGAGATTCTCGCGCAGACGCGCAACGTGCAGGCGGTGCAGCCGCACATGATGAAGTGCTTCGACGCCATCAAGAAGCTGGACTTCGGCGGGGAGCATGAGAACTCGCCGGTGAGGACCAAGGACGAGACGTCTGTCGACATCTACGGCATGATAAGCTCGGAGGGCGAGTACGTCACGTTGGGAAAGAACCTCAAGGCTCGAGGAGAGGTCGAGCACTGGCTTTCGAGCGTGGAGAAGGCGATGGTGACTCAGCTGAGAATCCTCTGTAAGGAGGCGCTGGATGACTTCGAGGGGAGGGACAGGCACCAGTGGGTCTTCGATCATGCTGGGCAGCTGCTGATTAACGTCAGTCAGATCACCTGGGCCCGGGGAGCGGAGAGTGCGCTGGACGGGGAGCTGGTGCCCGGGGATGCGAAGAAGGGAATCTCGACCTGGTTCGACCAGAACGTCGTGTGGCTGTCGGAGCTCTGCCGGCTAGTCCGTGGGGATCTGACGAAGCTGCAGCGAGGATCCCTGGTTGCCCTGATCACCATCGACGTGCACAACCGGGACATCATCGAGTATCTTATCAACGACGGGACGCAGAGCAAGACCGACTTCAGCTGGCAGATGAGGATCCGGTACTACTGGAACCCGAGCATCGGCACCTTCGGGGACCTGGAGATCTTCCAGGTTACCGCTCGCTTCCTCTGCGCGTACGAGTACCTCGGCGCCTCCTTCCGCCTCGTCATCACGCCCCTCTCCGACCGCTGCTACATGACCCTTACAGGAGCTCTAGAGCTGAAGCTCGGGGGCGCTCCCGCCGGGCCGGCAGGGACGGGGAAGACGGAGACTACTAAGGACCTTGCCAAGGCGCTGAGCAGGCAATGCGTCGTGTTCAACTGCGGTGACAACCTGGACTACAAGTTCATGGGCAAGTTCTTCAAGGGGCTGGCGCAGTGCGGTGCCTGGGCTTGCTTCGACGAGTTCAACAGGATCAACGTAGAGGTTCTGTCGGTGGTCGCCCAGCAGATCATCACGATCCAGATCGCGCTTAGGCAGCAGGTGACGGAGTTCGAGTTCGAGGGCCTGACGATCAAGCTCGTCGACACCTTCGGCGTGTTCATTACGATGAATCCGGGGTACGCGGGGAGAACGGAGCTGCCGGACAACCTCAAGGCTCTCTTCAGGCCCATGTCTATGATGGTACCCGACTACAGTCTCATCGCTGAGATCTCTCTCTTCGCCGAAGGCTTCGAGACCTCTCGGCCCCTCAGTAAGAAGATGACCAAGTTGTACAAGCTCGCGTCCGAGCAGGTCTCCTCCCAGCCTCACTACGACTTTGGCATGAGGGCGGTGAAAAGTGTGCTGGTGATGGCTGGGGCAGGGAAGCGAGCCAACCCCGACCTGCCGGAGAACATCACTCTCATTCGCGCCATGTGCGACTCCAACATCCCCAAGTTCCTCAAAGATGACGTCATCCTCTTCAATGCTATCGTGGAGGACTTGTTCCCCGGGGTTGAGGTGCCGAAGCAAGACACTGGGGACCTGTACGCGAGGATCGTACAGTGTCTGAACATGCAGAGCTTCGTGGTCAACGAGGACGTGATGACCAAGGCGATCCAGCTGTACGAGGTGCTGGGGATCCGCTTCGGGGTGATGGTGGTCGGGCCGACGGGGGGAGGGAAGACGACGCTCTCCCGTGCACTAGCTGAGGCAATGACGCAGCTGAGAAACGCGGGGCACGCAGACTCTGCGTTCCAGGTGACGCACACATTCTGCTTCAACCCCAAGAGCATCTCGATGGGAGAGCTGTACGGCAACTACAACCTGCTGACCAACGAGTGGACGGACGGGCTCGGGTCGACGATCATCAGAACAGCCAACAGCGACACCAGCGACGACAAGAAGTTCATCGTGTTCGATGGCCCCATCGACGCCATCTGGATCGAGAACATGAACACGGTGCTCGATGACAACCGGACGCTCTGCCTGCCCAACGGAGAGAGGATCAAGCTCAACGGCAACACTCTCAGGATGCTCTTCGAGGTGGAGGACTGTGCCGTTGCCTCTCCTGCTACCGTCAGTCGTCTCGGAGTCGTGTGGGTCCCTCCGGAGGGCCTCGGGTGTCTGGCATTCATCCGCATGTGGGTGGAGGTGTACCTTCCTCCCAAACTCCCAAAGGAGCACAAGACGCTGATCGCAGGCATGCTTGAGGAACATGTGCCAGCAGCTATCTTGACGGTCAGAAGGGACTGTCGGGAAGGAGGCATATCGTCCGTGGACAACAACTTGGCGACAAGTCTCTGCAGGATGTTTCAGACTCTCTTCATCCCCTCCCGCAAGTTCATTGACTCGCCCAATGGTGAAGACCTGGACTTTGAGATGCCAGGTGAGAGAAGGAGATGTCATTCTGTCAATTCTTTGTTCTTCATGGCAAATACTACTTTCTCTCCCACTCTTCCTGATTTGTTGTTTGCTTCTTTACCCCCTTGATGCCTCTTCTTAGTATCCTGCTCCTGCTCCTGCTCCTGCTCCTGCTCCTGCTCCTGCTCCTGCTCCTGCTCCTGCTCCAGCTCCTGCTCCTCTTTTCTTACTCTCGCACTCCCACAGGCTTAGCGGATCTGCTCAAGAGGTGGTTCCTCTTCTCCCTCGTCTGGTCCATCGGGGGCAATCTAGACTCTGAGAGCAAGGAGATCTTCTCCGAGTGGGTCAGAGACTCTCTCTCCTCCATAGCTCGCTTCCCCAACTCCGGCAACGTCTACGACTACTGTGTCGACCCCGAGACGAAGGAGTTCCGGCCCTGGGAAGAGGTCGCTCCAAAGTTCGTTTACCAGAAGGACAAGCCTTACTCCGACATCCTGGTGCCCACCAAGGACACAGTCAGGTACTCCTACATGCTCGAAGCGTTCATCTCCGTCGGCAGAGGCTCGCTCTTCGTGGGAGAGTCCGGAACCGGCAAGTCAGTCATAGTCGTCGACGCCCTCTACTCCCTTGCGGTGCCTGGGAAGTTCCTTGGGAGGGAGATGGAGGGAAACCTTATCCCCTTCACCATCAACTTCTCGGCCCAGACCTCCAGCCCCCGCACCCAGGAGATGCTCGAGCTGCGCTTCGAGAAGAAGAGGAAGGGAGTCGTGGGGGCGCCAGTCAACAAGAAGCTCATCTGCTTCGTCGATGACGTCAACATGCCGGCTAGGGAGGAGTACGGGGCCCAGCCTCCCGTCGAGCTGCTGAGACAGGTCACGGACACTCTTGAGTACTACCGCCCCCTTGGGGGCCTCTACGACAGGAAGAAGTTCAACTGGAACGACATCGTGGACATGGTGCTGGTCGCGGCCTGCGGCCCACCTGGAGGAGGGCGGAACGTGGTGACCAACAGGTTCTTCCGGCACTTTTCCATGCTCTCGATCTCTCCCCCCTCCCGCTCAGTCCTCTTCGTCATCTTCTTCTCCATCCTCGACGGCCACCTGGCCATGTTTCCCGCCGACGTCAAGGCGCTCGCCAAGACGACGGTGGACGCCAGCATCGACATCTACGAGCGAATCTCGTCTGAGATGCTCCCGACCCCCGCCAAGAGCCACTACACCTTCAACCTACGTGACCTCTCCAAAGTCTTCCAGGGCATCCTCTCCCTCAAGGTCCAGCACTGCCCGGACTCGCGCACCTTCCTCCGCCTCTGGTGCCATGAGAACCAGCGGGTCTTCCAGGACCGTCTCATCGACCACCAGGACAAGAACGTGTTCCAGCGCTGGCTGCACGAGATGCTCAAGAAGAAGTTCAGCGTCGACTGGGACTACACGGAGACCTTCGAGAAAGCTCCCATCCTCTTCGGCGACTTCCTTAAAATGGGAGTTGCCCCTGAGGACCGGCACTACGAGCCTATCCAGGACCCCAAGAAGCTGGACAAGCTGATGGAGGCGTACCTAGAGGAGTACAACCTGTCTACTCCGAAGACGATGAACCTGGTCTTCTTCATGGACGCCATTGAGCACATCTCCCGCCTCGCTCGTATCCTCCGCTCCCCTCGGGGGAACGCGATGCTGGTGGGGCTGGGAGGGTCGGGAAAGCAGAGCCTGACGAGGCTGGCAGCCTTCATGTCGGACTACAAGTGCATCTCGATCGAGCTGACGAGGGGTTACGGCAACAACGAGTTTAGAGAGGACCTGAAGAAGCTCTTCATCGTGGCGGGGGTAGAGAGAAATCAGGTGGTCTTCCTCTTTACAGACTCTCAGATCGTCAACGAGGGCTTCGTCGAGGACATCAACTCAATCCTCAACGCCGGCGACGTGCCGAACTTGTTCCCTCCTGACGAGAAGGATAGAATCATCAACGACGTCCGCGAGTACGCGGCTGCCCTTGGGAGGCCGCTGTCTAAGGACTCTGTCTACCAGACCTTCATTTCCTCCGTGCAGGCAAACCTTCACTGTGTGCTGTGCATGAGCCCGGTGGGCGAGGCCTTCCGTACCAGGTGCCGGATGTTTCCCTCGCTCATCAACTGCACCACCATCGACTGGTACCTCCCATGGCCCCAGGAGGCGCTGCTGGACGTGGCCAAGCGCTTCCTGCTGGGGCTGGAGAACGTGGACCTGGAGGTCAAGACGTCCCTCTGTACCATGTGCACAGTGATCCACCAGTCCGTGGAAGCCTCGTCGGACCGGTTCTGGGAGGAGCTGAGAAGGAAGTTCTACATCTCCCCCAAGAGCTACCTCGACCTGATCGAGATGTACCTGAAGCTGCTGGGGGAGAAGCGGTCGGAGCTGAGCGAGAAGCGGGACCGGTTCAAGAACGGGCTCGACAAGATGGTCGAGGTGGGGCTCGTGATCGAGCAGTCGAAGAAAGACCTTGCTGAGCTCGCTCCTATCCTCGTGGAGAAGTCCAAGGCGACGGAGGAGCTCCTGGCTGTGGTCACCAAGGACAAGGCCAGCGCTGCTGAGGTGGAGAAGGTGGTGGCAGCAGAGACGCTCGAGGTGGAGGCGCAGGCCACAGAGGTCAAGATGGTGCAGGAAGACGCGCAGAAGGACTTGGACGAGGCTCTTCCTGCTCTAGACGCTGCCGTGTCGGCGCTGAACTCGCTGACTAAGGGAGACATCACCGAGGTGAAGTCGTTTGCGAAGCCTCCGGCCCTCGTGCAGACGACAATGGAGGCTGTTTGCGCTCTGCTGGGGATGAAGACGGACTGGGATACAGCTAAGAGAGTACTGGGGCAGTCAGACTTCATGGATCTCCTCCTCAACTACGACAAGGACAACATGGATCCCAAGCGCGTCAAGGTGCTCACCAAGTACACGGCCATGCCTGACTTCACCCCCGAGACCGTCGGCAAGGTCTCCAAGGCAGCCAAGGGCCTCTGCATGTGGTGCCGGGCCATGGAAGTCTACAACCGCGTCGCCAAGGAGGTCGAGCCCAAGAAAGCGAAGCTCGCAGCAGCGAATGCGACGCTTGCCAAGGCGATGTCAGCGCTGAAGGAGAAGCAAGACGCGCTGAAGCAGGTGCAAGACAAGGTCATGTCCCTCGAGGAACAGCTCGACCAGGCCATGGTGGACAAGAAGAGCCTGGCAGATCAGGCGGCTCTGTGCGAGGCGAGGCTGGGGCGAGCTGGGAAGCTGACAGACGCTCTGGGGTCAGAGCAGGTGTCATGGACGGAGCAGGTGGGAGTGCTGAACACGCAGCTGAAGCTGCTGGTGGGGGACGTGTTCCTAGGCGCCGCCTGCGTGGCCTACTACGGGCCCCTGACAGGAGGGTATAGGAAGGAGATTGTAGCGCAGTGGATGGAGGCATGCAAATCCGGGGGTATCCCCATATCACCTTCCTTCAGCCTTGTCAACACGCTCTCTAAGGCGGTTGAAGTCAGAGAGTGGAACATCAACGGTCTGCCCACTGATGAGGTGAAGTGAAGTGAAGCTCTTGTAGCCCGTGTTTCTACCCTCTATGAGAGGATTCCTGGATGTGTCTGTGCTTTCCCACTGTACCTTGTCTCGATTACCTTGTGCAAGTTTTGAACTGTTATCCTTTCCCCATGCAATCTAGCTATTTCCTTCTTTCCCCTGATCTCCTCTTCCCTCCTATCATTTGTTGCTGAACTCTCCTTCCCTGCCATTCCCTTCCCTGCCCTGTCCTGTCCTCCCTCCTCTCTTCTCACTCCACTGTTGCAGGTATCGATCGACAACGGAGTTCTGGTCAAAATCGGTCAGCGCTGGCCGCTCATGATCGACCCGCAGATGCAGGCGAACAGGTGGATCAAGAACATGGAGGAGAGGAACGGCCTGCGGCTCATCAAGCTCACCGACCCCAACTTCCTCCGCACGTTGGAGAGCAGCATAAGAGTTGGGAACCCAGTCATGCTGGAGGACCTTGGAGAGGAGCTCGACCCAGCTCTGGAGCCGATCCTGCTGAAGCAGCTCTTCAGGCAGGGGAGCAGAATCTTGATCCGAGTAGGCGAGCAGGACGTCGACTACGATCCAGCCTTCAAGTTCTATATGACAACCAAGATGTCAAACCCTCACTACCTCCCCGACGTCTGCATCAAGGCCACCTTGATCAACTTCGTGATCACGCTGGATGGACTGGAGGATCAGCTGCTGGGGGACGTGGTGAGAAAGGAGAGGCCCGACCTCGAGGCCATGAAGGACAAGCTCGTTGTGAGCATGGCGTCAGACAAGAAGCAGCTGAGCGACCTGCAGGACAAGGTGCTGAAGCTGCTCAAGGAGAGCGAGGGGATGATCCTCGACAACGAGCCGCTTATCAACACGCTGCAGCAGTCGAAGTTCACCACCTCCATGATCGTCAAGAGGGTGGCGGACGCAACCGAGACCGACGAGCAGATCTCGACGGCAAGGGAGGGATACAGGAGCGTCGCTACCCGAGGGTCCCTGATTTACTTCGTCGTAGCCGACCTGGCGGAGATCGACCCGATGTATCAGTATTCCCTCGAGTACTTCAAGAGGCTGTACAACTACTGCATCGAGGTCAGCCAGAAGAACGACAACCTGGAAAAGAGGCTAGAGATCCTGATAGCCTTCATCACTGACTTCATGTACAAGAACGTCTGCAGAGGGCTCTTTGAGAAGCACAAGCTCATCTTCTCCTTCCTCATCTGCACTTCCATCCAGCGGAACCTCGGCCACATCAGCTCTGGCGAGTGGAACTTCATCCTGCGAGGAGCCCCGCCAGCCGAGGCCAAGGTCAAGAACCCTGATCCTACCTTCGTCTCCTCCCCGCAGTGGGAGGCGATCCTCGGGCTCGAGGCGCAGATGCCGCACCTGTTCGAGGGGTTCGTGGGCAGCGTGACGGATTCCGTGAAGCAGTGGAAACAGTGGGCCGGGACTGCGATGCCGCAGGACGCGCCTTTGCCGGAGCCATGGCAGGGCAAGCTCAATAGCTTCCAGAAGATGATTGTCCTCAAGATCTTCAGGGAGGAGAAGCTTGTCTTCGCCACCTCCAAGTACGTCGAGGAGAAGATGGGTCGCTCCTTTACAGAGTCTCCTCCCATCATGCTCGCCGAGATCTTCCCCGACACTGACTACCGCACCCCCGTCATCTTCGTCCTCTCCGTCGGCAGCGACCCCACCGGTGCCCTGATCAAGTTCGCCGAGGAGAAGAACTACCTCAACCGCCTGCAGAGCATCTCGCTGGGACAGGGCCAGGGCCCCGTGGCGGAGAAGGTGATCGCGCAGTCAACCAAGAAGGGCGACTGGGTGTGCCTGATGAACTGCCACCTTGCAACGTCATGGATGGGAGCGCTGGAGAAGATCGTCGAGGACTTTGCGCATGGCGTCGGCGACGAGAACTTTCGGCTCTGGCTGACTTCCATGCCCTCCAAGTCCTTCCCCGTCTCCGTCCTCCAGAATGGGATCAAGCTCACCAACGAGCCTCCCAAGGGCCTGCGCGCGAACCTTATTGGCACGTTCACGATGCTGGCGGAGGAGTGGGAGGTATGCGGCGACGAGAGGGGAGGGAGGGACGCGAGGTACTGGAAGAAGCTGCTGGTCGGTCTCTCCTTCTTCCATGCTGTGGTGCAGGAGCGGAGGAAATACGGTGCCTTGGGATGGAATATCCGCTACGAGTTCAACACCTCCGACATCCTCTGCGCCAAGGACGTTCTTAAGATGTTCACCAGGAACTTCGAGGAGATGCCGTGGGAGGCGCTGACGTACGTTACTGGCCACGTCAACTACGGAGGTGAAAGATTTCTCCTGCTCCTGCTCCTGCTCCTGCTCCTGCTCCTGATGCTCTCCACTTCTCCTCCACATTCGCTTCCTCAATTTCTGTACAACGCACCTCTCGTCTAACTCCCCCCATCCCCCCACGTTTGCTCATCGCCCTTGTCCTTCTTTCACCTGCCCTCTTGCAGGTCGAGTCACGGACGACATCGACCGGAGATGCCTCATGTGCATTCTGGCGAGGTACTACACCAAGAACGTTGTTGACGACGACGAGTACAAGTTCTCTGAGAGCGGAACCTATTTCTCCCCCAAGGTCGGGTCGCACGACGCTCTTATGGACTACCTGCGATCCCTTCCCATGATCGACAACCCCGAAGTCTTCGGCATGCACGCCAACGCCAACATCACCTTCCAGCTGCAAGAGACAAGATCCATCTTCGACACTGTCCTCAGTATCCAGCCCAGAGTGTCAGGCGGTCACGGGGAGGGCAAGAGCCCGGAAGAAATGGTCGATGAGATGTGCAGCTCGACCCTCTCCTCCCTTCCTCCCGACTTCCCTCATGACAGCCCGGGGTTCAGCGCGCAGGATCATGCTGCTGGTCTCTTCACGAAGCTGCCCAACGGGGCCTATCGCTCCCTCGACACTGTCCTCCTCCAGGAGCTCGACAAGTTCAACCGCCTTATCCGCGCCATGCGCATCTCCCTGGCCGACCTCCAAAAGGCCATCAAGGGAATCGTCGTGATGTCGGCAGAGCTGGAGATGATGTTCACCTCGTTTCAGAACAACCAGGTCCCTTCCCTCTGGAGCAAGGTCGCCTACCCCTCCCTTAAGCCCCTTGGCTCCTGGCTCAAAGACTTTCATCGCCGCATCAACTTCTTCAAGTCGTGGCTGGTCAAGGGTCAACCCAACAGCTTTTGGCTGCCAGGCTTCTACTACCCTCAAGGCTTCATGACAGGAGCTCTCCAGACCCATGCACGAAGGTATCAGCTACCCATCGACACTCTCAACTTCGGCTTCACCGTCAAGTCCATGGAGAGCGTGGACGACGTGGCCGACCCTCCGGAGGACGGCATCTACATCGAAGGACTTTTCTTGGAAGCCGCCAGGTGGGACAGGAGGACGAAGAAACTCAAACCATCCAACATGGGGGAGATGATGTCACTAGTTCCTATCATCCACTTCAACCCCGTCCAAGACTACACGCCTCCTGCTGAGGACTACGAATGCCCGCTGTACAAGACCAACGTCAGGGCAGGTGTACTCAACACAACGGGGCAGTCGACCAACTACATCCTCAGTAAGTGCATGCACTTGTTGCCCTGTGCTTCTATCGCTTACTTGTTTCAAGGTATCTCCCTGCCAACGGACGAGCCGCCAGACGTCTGGGTGCTGATGGGAACAGCTATGGTGACGATGACAAACGATTGAAGAGGGCAGGGTTAGATTGTAGTGTATTCAGTTGCTCTTAGAACTTTCGTAGTTGTTGTTTACCTTTTCGTGTTTGTTCTATTATACATAAAGAATGGTATGAAGAGACTACTCATTTACAACCTGTAAGTACGATTACATCTGCTGTATAATCTAATTTACATCTGCCAAAACCGAACCGGTCAGTTCTGAAAGCAACATTTCTTTACGCGACATCTCAACGCAACATGTCTCAACAAAACATATCACAACACAACATCTCAACCATGGTGTTGAAGTACATATACAAGACAAAGGAAAGACGATACTTGTGCTGTGAGGTGGACTTAGCCACTATCAGTGGTACAAGTGACTCCATCAACACGCCCACAGCGTTCGATCTTCGTTGAGCGGGGAGCGCATGAGCACAGCAGCATCAGTGGTGTCTTACTCCACTTCTGCCACATCTCTGGCGCAAAGAGCTCACGGTGCAAAGGATCATCACACGCCTCATGATCATTCACGACAAGCACAACAGGAGGAGCTACAGCAGCAAGTGCAAGCAGGAACATTGGGGGCTGGCCAGCATGCTACCTCGATGATCAGCGGCACTGAATGAAGCGCAGCATCGATCTTCCATGATCTTCATGCGATCGCCGATGCCCGACTTCCTTCATGCCGCGCATCATCCATCTTCCATGATCTTCATCCCTCGGTGTTCCCGCACGTGCCAGGTAGGGTTCAAGTTCCGCCGACAGGCAGTCCGTCTCGGCCCGGAAGTTGGCCGGCGGCCCCCGGGCCGGCGCCGGCGCCGATCCGGGATCGGACCGTGGGGCCCGCGGCGCCGGCCGCAGCGGCTGCACCGTCGGATGGGGTTGCTGGCACGCGACCCGGGTCTCCGACGACCGGCGCACGGCCCGGGCCCGGGCCCGGGCCGCGGGGGGCCGGGGCACGCCCTGGGCCGCGGCGGCGGGGGGCCCGGCGGGGCCCGGGCGGCGCGCACCGGCGCCGCCCTCCTCGGAGGCTCAGGGCCTGCCAGTGCGCCCCGTGGGCCGGCCCGGCCGGGGCAGTGGCGCCCCGCCTCCGAGCGTGAAGTCTTGAAACTTGAAACTTCATGGGCAGAAGTCGTACTGTATGAGCCTACCGTGACGGTACTAGTAGTACCGGGCTCCAAGGGCCGCCACGACTCAGCTGTCAGCCGGCTTCCGATTGTCCTACCGACGGTACGCCGGGTCCGATCACTGACGGTTCAGTCCTCTCTGTCCGAGTAAGTTTCTCAGCCTTCCGAGTCGCGGCGGCGGCCTGCGGCCCAGCGCGACTGCAAACTTCGACACGAGCTGCAGCTGAGCGCTGAGTAGCATATCACTAAGAAATGTCATCACACTCTGACTAGCGTGAGCTGTTGCTGGGCAGCACCGTTCAGCGGTGAATTCAACACTGACACTCAGTGCCGCTAGTGTCAGTGGGTAGAATTCAAGTCAACATTCGCACAAAGAAGAATGACTCAAAGATTACGCATGGCTGATGTTTTCTAGCAGTGCTATGATGCAAAAGCAGAGGAATCACCAAACATCAACGACATTGTGTCACTTTAAATTGCATTTACACTAGTAGTAATACATTGCTATTTGACGTTACAGTACAAAAATGCTCATTAGCGACCTCACGGTCACGGGCCCGGATGTGCTTGATCAGATAGAGGTATGTCTTTGTTTTGGCTGAGCAACCACATTCAAATCATCCATGGCCATATCAAGGGGGTCGTCGTCCATAGAAAAATCCATCATAAATCTATTCAGCCTCTCATCCATACTTTCTGTTCGTGTGTTCGGGGTACGTTGAATAGGTCGATTTTCCGTCCGATCTTGATCCTTCACCAAGAATTCAAGACCCTCGAATTCATCTATCCAGTCCATCGAAAACGCTGTAAGGTTGAAATCCATCATCAAGTTCGCTTTGGTAGTCACGGGCGCAGTACTTGGGCAGAACCCAAAGAACTGCTCGAAGGCTTCCTTCGAAAGCGGCTCCGTCGAATCATCTATCATATTAGATTCGAAATGTTCTATCATTATCTACAAGAAGATTCCAAACAGCAACAGCAGTTGTCTATTTCACAGTCTCATTATTTCGTATGTGAGCAGTCCACTGTGTAAATCCAGAAACCGATACAACCTCAGAAACGCAGTAGTGATCAGAGGATCAGCCAGGAAATTGTTGAGAAATAGATGATATTGCCTTAACGATTCAGACGATCAGGCAACACTGCAAACTTCTGCCACTGGAGCTAGGTACTCTACGGACGTCCGTACGCAGGTGTTGGCAAGTTGCAAGACTGACCCGGAGCAGAAATGTGCAGGGCGTGAAGCAGTCCAACTTGCAAGTGATATGTTCGAAGAGGGAGGAGGAAGACAGGAAAGGGTTACAGATGGGAGAAGGGCGTACAGATATAGCAGCACAGTCGGAGCCGGAAACGGGTTTGACGAGCAGGGGAAGCGACGGAAGGAGGCGCGTTTGCCTGGTACAAATCTACAAAGTTATGTCCAGGGTAGTAGTTATGGGGTGGGGTCATACACCCCATAGACTTAAGTACCCCCACAAATTCTCTGTCCATCAAGAGTACCCTGTTCTCAATATGTCACACCATGACTACCCCTCTATTTTAGTCTCATTTTCTCCTTTCTATCACCCAGTTATTTGAATGCTTCATCATTCTTGTACGTGTTGTACCCCTCCGAAAGGTATTACCCCCACCCTTGTATCTTTCGAAGATTTCAATCTTCACGGTGGGGTGGGTTTCAGGATGAGGACGGGTAAGAAGGTAGGGTACATTCGAAAGATGGAAGCTCGAAAGGCGAACCCTGGGCTTTAGGGACATATCTTTTAGGTGAAGACACGTTCACAGAGGGGGTGAGGTGACAACCCGAGAGGGGGTAGGGTGGATCATGCTTTGTTGGATAAATTGGTGGTTTTAGAGTAAAACGACGTGAAAGCGAGTGATTTCGAGAAGGCCTCCGCATCATGATCGTTCTTTACCACACACATGTCCAATTTCAAGAGGCAGCCGAAAGTGATACAGTCGAAATCAAACCCATAAAGTGATAGTGGAGTAGTATTGAAGCAGAGCTTTGAGATCACTATAGGAAATCAAGAGGCATGAGAGGATACCAAGAATTGGCTCAAACTTGGAATGATTTCAGCCTCTCGCTGCTTTCCCCCTTGAAAAGGGCATGCGTCTCCTCGGTGAGACACCTTGCTGCCGTGAGGTCTTAGGAAGATAGAATGGTCCTATGTGTACTATCTACCATGTTGCACCCAGTACGCAAAGGCGACCAACTCTAACGGCACCTGGGGTGGGGGTTTGTCTCCGAAGGGTGGGGTGTAAAAGTGGAGAAGGATGGGGGTAAATTTGCAGTAGTTCCAGAAATGGCAGCCGGAGATGGGGTGGGGGTTATCCCTCATTAGGAGGGGTACTAAATAGTCTATTAGGGGGTAAGGTGGTTGAAGTGGGGGCCAGGATCTAAGGCAGAACCGGTGCGGTGTAGAGCTTCACACGTCACCGCAAAAGCATAGTTTTTCAAAAGGTTGTAGAAAAACTTGGTCATGGTAGTCCATTTCTTAAGTGGGACTCTAATCAATCGCTGCAAGGGTGTCATGTGATAAGAAATGCCCCCCATGAGTCAACGAGGTTTAAGTGTGTTGCGAGGGTGTGTGCAGGGTTGTTGATTTCTTATGTGAGCCTCTAATGGAGCTTTAGATGCGGTGGGGAGGCAGGTGGTCACCTCGAGATCCACATGGGCATGCTTGACGGTGACCAGGCTATAAATGTATTTTTATGAAGTGGTTGAGTAATAAAACCTTTGACGATCATCTTTATGAGGACCGTTATGAGTCAGCAACTTTGTAACCGTTATCATCGGACTACTCCGCGCCGGGGCCCGCCCGGCCTGAGTCACGACGCGGAGCCACCCGGCACCTGGGCGACTTGTAACCGACAGTAGATCAGTACTGTAACGGTCTACCCTATTTCTGTAACGGACCCACTGAGAGCCACGCGTCTCTTCGCAGCCATGGCAGCCTTCGGAGGAATTATGAGGCCACCGCGGTGAGTTGCGGGATGAAGATGGGGCGATGGTGGAGGATGGATAGTGTCCTGATGCAACGCGATATGATGAAACTGATGGTCGTTTGATCGAGTATTCTACATGTGTAATGCAAATTTGTTTGGTTTCGTACCTCCTGGTGCTTATTTGACGAATCGTCGATTTTTCTGTGATCTGGTTGGCATTTTCGGGTTTTCCAGCCATTAAAGTGATTTATCTCGATGCATCAACTGTTTATACGATGATTTATGGACATATGTTTCGAAAGGAGAAATCTCTCTGTGGCCAGCCTGATTCTTCTCTTGTCAATTTGTTGAATCTCACCAAACTGAAGAAATTTTTGGCTTTTCCTTGCAGGGCTTGGAAGCTCAGTGGATGGCCTGCAGCTGCTCTGGGTGCGATAGGACTTGCGTTGCTGGTTATTGCAGCGATCGTTGGTGGAGTGTGGAACTTTTCTGAACCCATCGCCGCCGTGTCAGCTGACGCTACCCTGAGCCAAATGAAGAATGAGGTACAGGATCAGCTTGTAGAAGCGGCAAAGAGGCATGCTCTGGCCGAGAAGCACAGGACTCAAGCTCTCAAGTTGTCCAACACTGCGGAGGAAGAACGTGAGAAGTCCCGACTCCTCAAGGCGCAATCACTGCTTGCAAGAAGGCAGGAGAAGTATGACAAAGCTGCGAAGGAGGTCCGTGAAGCAAGGGCTGCCATGAACAAGAACGAGAGGCTCTCTAGCAAGCTCGCTTCGGATGCTCAGGAAGCAAAGGCCAAGGCTGATGCTGACAAGGAGAAGATCATGGAGCTCGAGGACAAGGCAGGCAACTACAATGAGAAGGCTATGGAAGAGGCCGACAAGATCAAGGTGGTTGAGCAGGCTGAGAGCAAGGCTGCTGCAGATCTGCCGTCTCTTCTGGTTCAAGCCAAGAAGGATGAAGGCGAAGCTGCATCCTTGAAGCAGGAGGCAAAGGGACGAATCGCAGACTCTCAAAAGAAGGTTGAGGCAGCCAAGAAGCTTGATCAGTTGGCCGAGCAGAAAGAACAAGAGGCCCACACCATCAGGAACAAATTGATGTCTGTGCTCGAACAGAAAGCCAAGACTTTGGATAAGAAAGAGAGGGATGCGAATGAGGAGGCAAAGTTGGCTAAGGAGGCTGCTCAGAAGGCCGCTGAGAAGGCGCAGAAGTACGCAGCTGAAGCTTCCAAGGAGTCCTCGATTGCTCAGACCCAAACTGGTTCCGACTCAGACGAAAATGATCTTAAGGTTGTTCAGCCAGAGGATCCAAAGCAACAGCTGCACAAACTCGCCGAGTCCAAGATTCGGCACGAGAGGGATCAATCACATGATCCAGTAGATCACAAGCATCTGCATTCAGTCAGAGCTGCCAATCTCGAGAGAGCTGCGAAAGAGACTGAGAGGAGGAAGAATAACAATATCAAGTCCTCGGAGGATGGTGAGCAGCTGAAGGAAGATGGGCACTACTCGAAGCGCGAGGAGGCCTTCAAGAAAGCTCTTGCCACAGCTTACAGAGCCGGATACGTCGGTGAACACAGGGATGCTGAATTGCAGGCATCATCCGACGTCAAGCCAGCTAGGACTCAGATGTTGGGTGAAGAATCTTCCGCTAACTCTGAAGACGTCCCATTTGGCACTGGAGATCCCAGGGTTGCCATGCTCTCCAAGGGTCCTGGTGAGGTCAGCCAGCTGGAGAAAGTCAAGGGCTCCGGAAAGTCTGCCCCTCTCTTCTCCATGCTGTGGTCAGATCCCGGGTCGTTGAAGGAGGTGACGAGAGACCTCTCGGGAACTACCAAGAGGCTGCGGCGCATCGCCCCGCGCTCTTCTCGTCTCGCATCCATGTCTACCCCGCACCTCTACGAGGACGGTCACGAGTCCAGAGCCGAGGATGAATTCAAGCAGGACATGCGTAAGTACAACCGAGCCCTCAAGGAGGAGAGGAGAGCCGAGCTGTCTAAGGTCAGCCGCCTGAATCAAGAGCTTGCCGAGCTGCCTGGGGGTGACTCAAGGGACGTTCGTCGATCGCCCGACCAGAGCAGGGACTTCGAAGAGCGCCGTGAGCACGACTGGCACCTGCAGGCTGAGCACGCCCGGGATACAATGCTCCGAGAGACTCAGAACCATTGGGATAGCCGGGGCAGAGGATCCTACACCAGGATGCAACGTCGTGGGATCAGGGAGGGGCCGCGAGTAGTTGAGAACGAGGAGGGACACTTGGTGTTCGATCGTCGTCGCGACTCGAGGGCGGAGGGTGACAGGAGGCGCGACAGCTCTCTGCGTTCAGAGGTGCACGATCTGAAGGACGACCTTCGCTTCGAGAAGCGGAGGGACCGCCGTCTCGAGGACAGGACCTCTCGCCTCGAGGGTGAAGTGGACGAGCTCAAAGAAGAGCTCCGCGGGGGCCGCACGACGGAGCTGAGTGAGGTGAGGGACGAGCGAAGGCCGAGGAGGGAGGGCGAGCGAAGGGAGGAGCGTCGACGTGACGAGGACGAAAGGGCTCGGGAAGAGCACAGGAGGGAGATGGCTCGTCGCAGAGTGAAGAGCTACCATCAGCGCAGCGCCGCCAAGAAAGCGACCAACTTCTCTCCTGATGCCGTGTACGAGAAGGAGTACGCGTGGGACCCTGGGCACGTGAGCCGAGGAGAGATCAAGTTCCAGCACGCCCTCAAGAACTTCGACCACACGAAGGCGATCCTGCGGGAGGGGGCCATGCAGGATATGCAGCACATGCACCTGCCTGAGCTCGTCCCCGCTCACCTCCCCGGGCAAGGGTTGTAAGTTGGGGAGCTCGTTGATCTTGGACGGTTGGCTTCATGCAGTTCTATGTGCGGATTAGTTTGTGCTCTTGTCTCTGTCCGTGTTGGCGATGTCACTGTGCGTGAAGTTTAAAGAGGTGAAAACCGAGCCTTTTGTCTGCTACTCTTCGTTCCTCAAGATCCTTCCATCAGAAAGTTACATTTTCTCCTGTTTCATCATCATCATCATCATCTCCTCCTCCTCCTCCTCCTCCTCCTCCTCCTCCTCCTCCTTCTCCATAAATCTTATCTCCTCCTCCTCCTCTTCCTCCTCCTCTTGCTCCTCTTCCTCCTCCTCTTCCTCCTCCTCGTTTGCCTCCGATTTTGGTCTCGCCCAGTGTGGTAGCGTGAATATCCCAGGCATCTGAGGCTGAGAATATTAGGGGGGGTGGGGTAAAATAACTGGGGGGTATAGATTGATAAATTCGGGGTCCTAATGGTGCGTATGAAGGGGTGGGGTAGTAAGAAAACTGGAAACATGGAGGTGGGTCTACGACCTGAAAGATGGTCGACTGAGAAGAGCGCAAGGAGCTGGAGATGGAGGGAGGAGCTGTTGAGGAGAGGACGAGAGGAGAGAGGATAGGAGAGGACAGGAGAGAGGGAGGGGAGGGAGGTTGGAGAGGAGGGGAGGGGAGGGGAGGGGAGGGAGAGGGGAGAAAACGTGAGGGGAGAGGGCAAGGAAAGGGAAGGAGGGGAGGGGAGGGGAGGGGAATGGAGTTGAAGAGAGAAGAGGAGAAGAGAGAAATGGAAGGAAAGAGAAATTAGAGGGAGGGGAAGCGGAGGAGTACAGAAGATGCAGTATTGAGCCAGAGGGCGAGAGGAGAGGAAGGGAATATGAATGAGAGGATTCACTTAAACGAGCGATCGAGGAGCTACTTAGAGGACGTGAGCAATAACGAAAGAACTTTCATTGCTATTAATCGCGCTACTTGACTCTCTGCTCCTCAGGTGTCTTGGTAAGCCCCTGCTGTCGAGATGTCGGATGAAGGGGACAGCAAGCCTGTCTCGCTCTTCAAGCAGCAGCGACAAGCGGCGAAAGGCTCGAAGTTGCAAGTCCCCGCCCACAAGGAGCCCAAGATCGAAGTCAGGCAAGAGGCACCAAGAATGCAGGAGCCTGCGAGGCAGGAGGAGAAGGTGAAGGTACAACAAGGTCCAGCCCAACGCCCAAAGGAAGACGAGGACGCGATCAGCGCGAAAGTGGACAAGTACGCGAACTTTGTGGATGACGTGCTGAGAGTCAAACTTGCGAGCCTGATCGAGGAGAGGGAGGAGGTGGTGAAGGACATCGAGGCGTTGGAGAAGCTGAGAAGCACCGTCTCCCTGATGCAGGAGCGAGGAGGAGGGAGGATGAAGACGATGGTGAACGTGGGCTGCGAGTGCTACATGCAGGCTGAGGTCCCCGACACATCTTCCATCATGATCAACGTGGGTCTGGGATTCTTCGTGGAGATGAAGCTGCAGGAGGCGGTGGAGTTCGTGGACAAGAGGGTGGAGCTGCTGCAGGAGAAGGCGGACAGGCAGGGGAAGGAGATATCGGAGGTTCACTCGCAGATCGAGATGGTCCTCAAGGCCATACAGGAAGTACTGAACATTGCAGACCCAGAGGTCGAAAGGAGGAGGATGATGTGATGATGAGGGTATACAGGTAGAGGGGAGGAGGAAAGGAATCGGAGATGTGGGAAGGAGGGGAGGCTGGATGATGACGATGGCACAAGCTGTCTGCGAATGAGGAGGGGAGAACGAGAGAGGAGGAGGAGAAGCAACAAGGAATGCCTCTGCTCTGCGCATTATTCAATTTCATTCGCAACAAACATAAAATACACCTCAAAACACTACCGATCCCTTTCCCTCCTTGTTTCTTTCCCTCCTTGTTTCTTTCCCTCATCGTCCTACAAGTCTCCTCCTCACCCCCCCCTTCTTCCTGCTAGCTTCAATGCCCCAGTCCGTGAGAGATCAGCAGCCAGAACAAGTACATGGCTGCAAACGGCGTGACATTCTTGAAGGGCACCGACTGTAGCGATCCGGTTGCACTCACAAGCCATCCTCCCGACACCTGTCAAGTCATCAGCGAATGTCCTCAACTTCCCTCTCCGCATTCTTCGTTTCTCTTCTTCCTCATTCCCCCTCCCCCCCTTCCCCGCTCGCCGCTGCCCGCAATTCCCTAACCACTCCAACCCTTCCTCCAACTCCTCTAGTCTCCTCAATCCTCACCTGCATGGCCCATCCAGCTGGCGGCGTATCCTTGTAGGCCACCACAGCCATGAACGGGTCACCGCCCGTGCTCTCACGGAGAGCAGGGAGCATGAGCCCGAGGGAGGAGAAGGGGTTCACCTCCCAGATCAGCTCGGGGGTAGTGAAGGAGCTGCATGCTCGGACGCAGTCCATGACCAGCTCGCAGCGCTTCAGGTTCCCCCTCGACTTCCATCCCTCGATCGCCTTGCTCGCAAACGCCTTGTCCGTAAAGGAGAGGATCAGCACTCCGCCAGGTCGCAGCACCCGAGCAGCCTCCGCCAGCACCAGCTCCGGCTGCGTGAAGTACTGCACAGAGCTCGCGCAGACGACGGCGTCAAAGCGCTCGTCTTCGAAGGGGAGCACTGGGTCCTCGTTGAGGTCTTGGACCACCCGGTCCGTCAGCTCCTCGTTCGCCAGCATCTCCTCCATGTTCATCCCCAGCCCCACCACCTCTCGAAACGGCTTGTCTTCAGGGAGCAGCGAGGCGCAGGAGGCCCCAAGGTCGAGGATGGCAGAGCCGGGGAGGATGCGCTTGCTGTAGAGCGACTGCAGCTTCATGGCGAACTTCATGTCGACATGCACCACCATGCGCGGGTCCTGGTAGAAGACCGAGTCCGGGCTCTCGTCCTCCCGCCTCCTCTCACTGTCTGACAGGACGATCTTGGCCTCCCTGACCACCTTCCTCACTTTGCGCTGCATGGGCCCGCGGTCAGCTGTGACGATGCTGGCTTCCTCGGCGAACACGTTCTTCACCGCAGAGAGCTCCATGCTCTGAATCTTCTCCTGTAGCTCCGCTGCCTCGGCGTAGCTCTGTCGCTCGACCGCCTCCTGCAGCTGCGCCTTGAGCTGCGTGATGCTCATGGCGATCTTCTCCTGCTCGTCCATGACCTGCACCTGCACTGAGGACGACGCCTCCTTCCAGTTCATCCTCCTGGTCGGGATCAGCGGGGCATCGCTCTCCTTCTCTGAACGCCGGCTATCGAGGTCGTAGTCCATGCACAACCTGCCAGACCTCCTGCAGGACCTGCGAGCAAGCTGAAGGCTCGGCCGAGACTGACTGACGAGAGAGCTGAGGTGGACGGTGTTGATGAAGGAGTGCGTCTCAACTGCAAGGAGGAGCAGGAAGGCGAAGGGGAAGAGGACGTTGTATTGGCTCATCATCCAAGTCGGCGAGCAAGGGAACTCGAACTCCTCAACGACCGGCAGATCAAGAGCCGCCTGGTAGAAAATGTCATGAAGGTACAAGACTAATCCAATGCCCCCCATCTTCATTCAACAACCCTTCATCTCCACACTGAATTGTACAGACTCTATCGAGTAAACTCTAAAGATCTGTTATAGACTTGAGGGCGACTATCTCAATATGCACTTCTTTTCATGTTATCAACGATTCTCAAAGCTCATTCAGTTGCTTGATCCCCTTCTACACCACTAACTGCTCCTGCTCCTTCTCCTTCTCCTTCTCCTGCTCCTGCTCCTGCTCCTTCTCCTTCTGCTGCTCCTTCTCCTTCTCCTTCTCCTGCTCCTGCTCCTGCTCCTGCTCCTAGTCCTGCTCCTGCTCCTGCTCCTGCTCCTGCTCCTGCTCCTGCTCCTGCTCCTGCTCCTGCTCCTGCTCCTGTTCCTAGTAGTTCCGTACATCTTCAACCCTCGCCCCACTTGTATCTCCTCACTATCCACGATCCACCCCCTACGAGACTATGGGTACCCCTGCAACGAAAACTGTGTACTACCCTACCTACCAATTCTGTGCCTATCTTCATAATTACCGGTACTTTAATTCTTCTAACCCTCTAAATGACTGTAAATTACCCTATCAATATATGGGTAGTCATACCCACATTACCCCCCTTGCTCCCACCCTAATTTGAAAACTTTTGATTCTTGCTACCCTACCCAGTAAATTGACCACCCACCTCAGCCCGTACCCCACCAATCTCTCTATAACAAGATCTTCCCTCTCTTTACAGCAAAATGCCAAGATAGCAAGCCGGGAACTGAATCAGAGCGACAGGAGGAGGAGAAGGTGATTGTGGTGGAGGAGGAGAAGGTGGTGGTGGTGGAGTTGTAGGAAAGGGAGGAGGAGGAGAAGGAGGGAGGAGGGAGAGAGGGAGAGGACGAGGAGTTGATGGCAGAATATTGTGTGGCGGAAGTGCTGAGGAAAAAGCGAACACTCTAGCGGTTTCTTTATGCGTTTTAAGGTATTCTATATCATCTTGAGTAATAAGATTAGCATTTAAGAGCGTGGATAATGCTTTATCATCGCGTAGTATTTTAAGAAGAATGTCTTGTATAAAGTTAATATAATCACGTTTATATTTTCTGTATTGTTTCATATAGATATCTTTATTCATTTTGATTTTTGGAGAGAAAAGAAATAAATAAATATGGGCCAGTGGTGGGTGACAATAATAAACCAAAAGTTAAAATCAATTTATAATAAAAGGTAAATGGTGTATTTACTATTAGAAGAGGATAAAATAGCCAATTATATTATAAGACCAGAACTAGAGAGAGAGATTAAAGGTAAGCATAAACCCTCCACAATAAAAGGAACCCTCCACAAACCTTCCATATATATTTGAAGAGTGAAATGGTAATAGAGAAAGGGGGTTAGTGGAGGGTATGGAGGGTTTGGAGGGTGTGGAGGGTTGAAAGTTGAATTGGGGAAAATCAAAAAATATTGGGGTATTCGACAGAAACGCGCAGATTGTTTCGTTTCACAGACCTAAAACCTGAAGTATTTTAAAGGATACTCTTCTATGCCTTCACGGGTCCAAACAGGGCAATGTCATGTAAAGGGGGTGGGTACTATTTGGTACCAATTAATAATTATTAATAATAGTTTTATTCTTACGGTACAAAAGTACTTTTGAATCCGACCACCCCACCACTTCCCACTCATTAACCCCCCTAGTTCACTCCAACCACCACCCCTACCCCTCTTTGTACGAGAACGTATCTTCTCACAGGGGTGGTCGTCATACCCCTACAGTACCCCCTCCTTGCAGCCTGAGATACTATATCCAGCAGGGGTACTTCATCACTTTGTTGGAAAGTCTACAGTACCCCCTCCTGGCAGCCTGACATACTATACCCAGGAGGGGTGCTACATCACCTCGTCGGAAACCCTCAGTACGTTTCCAACGCACTCCTCCCTCCTTCACTCATCCCACATTGTTGCAGAGTATGTCATTGGCACAAAACTGTTGCAAACCTTGTTAAGGGTCGCACAATCTGTGGGAAACTCTGCAGTTCTCTATGTCATCTGTTCGTCAGACCATCTCTTACTTGTCAGAGCTACTCCCAATGTGATCCTCCACTACATGTTATGCCCATTGCACGTTGTCGGCACATTATTGGTATGAATTACTGACGTTGGTGAATGTTGTTATGGCAACTTTTATCGTTCAGTCCGTTCATGCGCGTTTATCTTGGAAGTACCTTTCTGCTACGTTGCAATACTAGTATGGAATTTGTAAACTCCTTGTTACAAGGCATGCATCACTCCACGTTTACTCCTTCACCTGACAAATACACGTGTCTCAACAACCTTTCCATCGCTTGCCGGATCTCGTCTATGTCCCTTTGGCCAAATGAATTCACTGCCATGTTACCAGACAGGCAGTCAGCTATTCCGCATAGAAATATGCCACATGACGATGTATCAGTCTGTCTCGGGATCTGAAAGTCGGTGAATAAGTTGAAAGTCGGTGAACAACATCGGCGATGTCAAGATTCTCTACTGACCTGGTTCGAAGTCATGTATTCCTGCTGCCAAACCTCCCCTCCATCTAATCCCTCTTGCTGCCATTGATATCGCAAGAAATCTGTCACCCAGGATAACTGGTTTGCTTTCGTGAAGAGATGCGCATACCTGCGACTATTTCCATATACGCCGATGGTGTGTCATGTCTGGGATCGTATAACCTGTCAATCCATCATTCCCAAGTAGGCAACCACCTTTCCTCATCCAAATGCAGTGTTCAATGTTTCCACACACACACCTGATCACTTTCGTCCGAGGCTCTACAACCATCAAACTCCAATGCACGCCTTGAATACTACCCGTGCCGTCCTGGTTCAGCTCACCCGTGTTCACAGGGATCATAATTCGCTTGTGAGTCGACCACGTCCCTGTTGGAAACCATCGTCGTAGTGAGTTGTAACCCTCAGCGATTGCGTCCTTCGACTGTCATGTCACATCAGAATGAATGGAATGTGGTAATCAATTGCTACCTTTGCAAGTTCGTGATATAGTCTCAACCTTGTGAAGAAGAAGGTAGATACAATGATGGATCCGATGATCTGGACAGATTATGACGGAGCCTTGCATTTTCACTTTCAGTATTGTTGTTGCATCGTACTCCATAAGTCCTGATATATGAACCACGGTTGCCAGAAGAATCGTTTGGCTCTTTGCATTGCGCATACCTTGCCTGCTCAGTCCAAATGAACGACACACGATCATAAAACCCAGTGCTTACCCAACACTTGTGATCTATAGCATCGAGGTAATCATGTGCCACTGGATTGTGCTCTTGCAGGAGTGTCATAGCTTCGTCGAATTGGCGCACAGTCACTGCAGACTAATGTGTGTCAAGGACAAGTCATCATTTGTCAACAGACCTGTGCTTGCCAGAAGAATGGTTCAGTGGCAGGACATGTGCGTTTCCCTTTCTTGGTAAGACAAGGGGCATGTTGTTCTGTGAACATGTGTGACCCATCACGATTGGAATCGAAGATGATGACGATACCTCTACAATGTTGGTTGATGTTGCATAGCAAGTGGAAGCAACAGAAGATAACATCGGCTTCAGGCATAGCACGTCGCACCCCGGCCAGGATTGCCTTGCCCCGGTCGGTGATAATGGTCAAAGGCCCAGATTCGCGAGATAACCATTCGTTCAATCCAGTAGCCTTCAGTTGGTCCCACATGAAAGCAGTATTTTCTTCCGTCTCATCACCAGCCACGGAGCCTTCTTCTTTCCAGGAAGCAAACACCCCTGTTACCATTGCGTGTGAATCAAGCAAACAAGCCAAAGAGCATCAGAAGATACCTACTGCGAGTGGGACGATGGTATTAGTACCCAACCGCGCTTCAATCACCATTACTTTACCAGAATACCACCTGTATAGAATCATTACACTACAACAAAACCGGAAACAATAAGGAGTCAAGTGGTATACCTGTGTGTGATGTGACAGAAGTCCTGTCCAAGAAGGCGCAGACCAACCGTCTTCACCAAATGGATTATGGTTCCATTCGCAAGAAATGCTCCACTGAAAGAATTCCCCCTACTGGAACGTACCGGTGACATGACAACACCGCGGCTACCCTTGTTCAAGGAGGTATATTCCTCGATCCACTTCTCCAGAAGGAGATAGGAATCCCGATAATCGTCCCAAGACCCACTTTCAACCTGGGTTCGAGCCTTGAATATATTAGCAAGACTAACATCTACACCCAATTCAGACTTGATCGCAACTTGCAACTCCTTAGCGGTCATACGGGTTGGATGCAAACCACCGCCATCACCAATCGAGGGGGATAGCAATGAACGAAAGTATTCGTTATTCACCAAGAATCGTATAGTGCCCCTTCCCACAGAAGTACACATGGGTCTGCAATGTCGAGTAATGCTATTCTGCACATCTATATACCAGTAACTCTTATATCTCTGAGCAAGGCTCTCAGATTTCTTGACAAGCAAATGGTACCTGTCCACCGGCATTTACAGGATAAACGTGCTCTCATCCAAATGTTACCTGCATCCTTTACACGTACACAAAATCAGATATGAATTGAATCCTGAAGGAGCTCGTTGAACACGAACACCCTTGTTCCCATCAAGAAAGTTGATTGCTTGTACATAAGACGTACACTGTTTACGTTTGTGGAAACGTTTGCCTTGAAGCTTGGAAGCATGACATCCGGAAGGGACAATGGAAGAGGGAGTTCCTCTTAGCATATGGTGGACAGGGGAAAGGGGCGGGGCAGGGGCTGGCGAGATGGAATGCATCCCAGTAGAACCATATTTGTTCACAGACAGCACGGGACGAAGAGAACCTTGCTGAAAATCATCGTCTGACATACCCTCTATATCAAGAGGACTGCCTGAGTGATTACAATCAGGTGGACCAGCAACACCTGATTCAGGCACATGCTGTGAAGCATCATCATCACCTACTGGTTGTCCTGCCAGCATTGTTGTGTTACTAACATTCACCGAAGCTGGTTCTGCCAGTTCTTCGTACAGACGACTAGCCGCTTCCACGAGGTTGCCGTCAAGGCTCCATCCCACGATTTGATATCCCTTCGAGATAACTTGTCCTATACGAAGATTGCAAGGAAGCCCCAACAGAGAACGGACTGTTTCAACATGGTGCATGAACGATGTGGGCTTCTGAGCTGGCATGGGCGTCCGCGGCGTGCTGGAAAGGCCAGATTGATTGGCGGGAAAATAGTACCAAGTATAGCAGTTTGTACGGGGGCGTACTACGGTACTTCAGCAATAATTGTTTGTAAAATGGAATGTAACTTAAATTAGTACCGAAATAGATATTTTTATAATGTTAACAATAATTTAATAGGCGTTACTATCCATATAATTTGTACTATCTGTCTAATTGTCCTACATCCATATATTTCTGCGCGTTTATGTCGAATTCCCCAAAAAATATTTGGGAGGAGCAAAATCAAACCCTCCACCCTCCACACCTGCCACGGGTGGATAATAACCACCTGCAGAACGGCAAGTTTCATCAATGATGATTGTTTTCTTTTTATTCGGTTCAGGTCATCGGTAGGGTGCTCCGGGGTCACCGTGCAGAACGGCAGAACGGAAGAACAGGGAGAACGGCCATTGGTCACCAAGGGGGGAGCAAGCTCCCGCGGCAAGGCTGCGCCATGCCTTCCCGCCCCCTTGCTGAAATCATGTGAAAGGCTGACGAGAATGATAAGGGAAAGTGAGAGAGTTACCAGGGCAGTTGTTCATAGTTTGTTCACGAAGGAAAAGTGTAATACGTCAAAAAAGTCACGAAGGAAAAGTGTAATACCCAAAACGGTCAAATAAGTCAAGTGATATTAAGCTGCTAGCAGCTTCTACTGAAAGCATCGGAGCAAGGTCGAGGTCGAGGTCGAGGTCGAGGTCGAGGTCGAGGTCGAGGTCGAGGGAGAGGGAGAGACGCTGGTTTGCTTCTTGTTTGTCTTAATGCATACAAGGAGAAAGTCGACAGACTACAATAATGTCCTGCAAGCTCAGATACAGCTCCTGAACGGTTCCAAAGACGCAGCGGAAACTGACAGAAGGGAGACGTAAGGGTCAGGCAATAGCAACAGCTAACCCCACTGCCACGTCCTCTTCTAGATACTGTTCTTCCCCTCTCGTTTCCCATCTTCCTCTCCTCGTCCTTGTCCTCCTCGTCTTGCTCCACCACCACCACCACCACTACTACCTCTCTCCCTCCCTCCCTCCCTCCCT